GCTGGGGATGGAACTCATGCTGCAGTGGCTGAGGATAGCTTGATAGTGCTGAGACTCTCAACCCCCACACCTCTGGCCTGTACCCCAGTTCTTGTGTGCATAATTAAATAAATCTTAAAAAAAACTAACCCATAGTCAAGGTGCCTTTCTGAATCTAATCACGTGTTTTGGCGTCCATGTAGCACAGCAGCCTATTACCAATAAATTATAAGCAATATATATCTTTAAGTGGTATTTTATAATGTAATATTGGGATTTATAAGAAGTATACATTTGGTCATGTAGATGACCAAAATCTATTTCTCATACATATTTGGTGTCATCCACAGTTCATGGCTCACAGTTCCCCCCGAAGCCTTGGGATTTCCCAAGTACTGTCATAAAGAGGCTTCTTGCTTTGTTAATGAAGATAATTTTGGGGAAATACCTAAGGATGGGGGCTGGTTGCCAGCAAAGCCATTTGAAATAGAGGGTTGAACTCATGCCCCCACTTCTGGGGAGGAGAGATGGGCTGAAAGTTGAATCAATTGCCAACAGCCACCGAGTTAATCAGCTATGCCTATATAACAAAATGGGGGCTTCTGAGAGCTTCTGGGTTGGTTGGTCAGCACATGGAGACTTGGGGGGAATGGCACAGCTGGAGATGGCCCAGAAGCTCCATGCCTTTCCCCCCATTTTTACCGTATGAATCTCTTCCACCTGGCTGTTGATTTATAACTTTTTACTATCCTTTTTAATAAAATGGTGATGTAGTGAGTTAATGGTTTTCCTGGGTTCTGTGAGCCATTCTAGAAACTTCCTCAAAGCTGAGGAGGGGAATCCCAGGAAGCCCTGCTTTGTAGCAAATTGGTCAGGAACACAGATGATAACTTGGACTTTCTGCAGGCTCTGGAAGTCTCAGGAGGGTCGTGGGATCCTTTGATCTACAGCCAGTTGGTCAGAAACCCAGATGACAGCCTGGAGCGGTGGCCAACATCAGAAATGGAGGGTGGTCTTGGGACACTGACCCTTTCACCTGTGGAATCCGATGCTCTCACCGGGTAGAAAATGTCAGAATTGAATTGCTTGTCAGGGCGGGTAAAACTGCACACATTGGAGCTGGGTTCAGGGACCCACAACACAGAAAACATACAATAGTGAATCCTCAAAACTTGCCTAGAGCACATTCAAGGAGCAGTTGTGATCAAGTAACACTTTTGGCTGCAAAGAGGGATGCCTGGTGCCTGTGTCACGCCTACAACTCCCCCACATTCTTCTGCCCAGCAGATCACTTCTATTCCTCGACCCTGCCCTTTGGTCTCTGAGGATGAATGTCTATGGCCTGGGAGTGGAGAAATGGACCAAATCAGCATGTCTGGAACTCACCTCTCCTCACTCCCTGAGTCATCGATTAATCTGTCTGCCTTTTCTCTCACTTTGCAGTGACTCAGGTTTTGCAGTAAGACTTGGTTTGCTGAGTTTTCACAGGCTGACGTAACCAAGGCACTGTGCAATATTCCCATAAAGTTTCTCGAAGGTCATTTAGCTGCTCAGGTTTATTTTTAAAAGGTTTTGTAATTGCTGGGAGCTCCAAATATCAACGTCAACCAAGTCAAACATCAAATGACTGAATGTTAAGTGAGAAATTACCAAAGTCCCTGGAAGTGGGTGACCTCTTGCTGGAAATCTGGTGATGCTGTAGGGAAATCTAATGAGCAAAGCAGAGGTGGTCAACAGGGGGAGATTCTCAACTCTGGGTGAGAAGAGGGCCTTTAAAGAATCAGTGTGCTCTAAGTGGTACAGGATGGGGCAGGAGCAAGACACCACATTATACGAACAGCATAACGTCAAGCCATATACACAGTGTGCTAAACTATAGAAGGCCCACAGGGATTTGCCCAAGTGGGAAGAGGATGGTGTCGTGAGTGGGAGTTGTGGGTCTTTCCAGCCTTCCTTTCTCTATTTCCCAATATGTTTATTTCTGTATTGTGGTTACAATATTACAAAGGAAGAAATGGGTTTCATTTTTGGATTTGAAATCTGAAAACGTAAGTGTGATCACTGAAAATGTGCATGTTCAGAAACTGTTCATTTCCAGCTTCATCATGACCTCAAGGTACTCAAGGGGCTTTCTGAGCAAAAGATGACCTCTTAGGTCATGGAACAGATAGTCACACACATTTGTTTAAAGAAAGTTCCAGACTAATCCAGAGTGAATGAGTCTGAAGGTCCCTCTGAGGTCTGACTACAAGCGTTTTCTTTTCTCTGCCAGACTTGTCTGTTGCAGTAGCTCGGCCTGTGGTGGCGGTGGCTGCCTGAAGCGGGTGAGTTGTGGCCAACTAGCAAAAGGATAGAGTGGGAGCAGCCGGGCAGCTTCTCCCACTTACCCAGGATGGATGGCTTCATGGAGGAAAGTTCAGTAAGATACATCAGCTTTGTTTAAATAGACCCCAGAGCTTGCCTAATTTGCATTATTAAATAATTTCTTCCATTTTCTCATTAGAAATCAGTCAGGCATAACTGACAGCTCCTACCAATTCAAAGGAAATTAAGCTAGAATGTTCTTGCAAGGACAAAATTTTATTTTCGTCTCCAGCAGTAAGGAATGAAGACTCTCATAATAGGAATATAACTAATGGCAAATGAAAGGCACTAAAAAATATCTGACAGGCATTTAAGCACACTGATAATATACCAGTGCTTAATCTGGTTGGCCCTATGGTTTCTGGGGGAAGATTTTTCACCAACCCCCTTATATGCACACACATCCCTACAAGCAAGCAAGCAAGCAAGCAAGCAAAGCCCTGAATAGCAAACATGAGTTTTACAAAATGAGTTTTTATTTTTTCCCCTACTGGAAGTCACACAAGTAAGTTGCTGTAATTTGACCCACTGCCCGGTAACATTTACACTTTCATTGTATTTAGAACAAGTCAGACTAAGCAGCCTTTTCCCTTCAATCCTTCACAGCTGGGAAAGCAAAGGGGGCCCCACTGGCAGGTGCAGCCCTGGCAGCCACCTCAGCAGCCCTGCTGGCCCCACTCACGCTCACGGGCACATAAGCTCCTTTGCAGAGAGTGATTATAGCAATTTACACACAGCAACACAGCCTAACCCCTGGGGCCGGCACTGGCTTCCCTCCATGACAAGAAAGCACAGCGTTCTGGGGCTCCAGGCAGAGCCCCTTGGTCACCCACACAGGCCTCGCCTTCCTGGAGGACAGGCTGAGAGGCAAGAAATAGCACTGAAAACCCACCTTTCCCCTGCACCTAACCACTCAAGAGGTGGGTGAGGCGCACACGGGCACCTTACTCCACATAGTGGGTGGAGGTGGCAGCAGAGAGCCCCCTCAACCCCGCCACACATCCCCGGCCCCAGGTGGCCTTTCAAGGTCACAGAATTGAAGGGAAAAGGATGTCATGGTCACATACCATGGCAAAGGTGAGCCTCTGCGGTGTGGAAGTGCATAAACTGCGCCCATGTGTCTGTGGTCTGCACAACAGGGAGAGCACATGGCCAGACTGAGGACTTTGTGAAACAGGATGTGGTCAGAGGGCCGGGCAGGAAGGAGGCTCAGACAGACTGACTACAGAGATCAAGAACTTGATCCCCTGAGCTGACAGTGCTCGGGGAGGCTGAGTGAAGGCTGGTTCCTGTGCCAGGCAGCGGGCTCACCAGCACCATCCGCCCTCTGCTCCCAGAGGAAGGGTGTGCACTGCCTTTGCTGTGTCTGCCTGGTTTGCGGCCTAGAAAAGGGATGGTCACACACCGCCTACACTGCACACGAGGCCGTCTCCAAACATGATCGAGTGCCTCGGTTCCCGTGCTTACAGTCTCACACCGGCCCAGAGAAAGTTTCAGGAATGTGATCCTGCCTTCCAGAAGTGGAGCGCGCATCAACATTTGGCAAGCCCTGTGCCCTCAGACAAGGCTCTCCCGCTTCCACTGTCTACAGTTCACTCTCCAGGCAGAGGACACTGGGGCTGGGATTTGGAGAGGTGACTTAGGCAAAGGCACCATGGCAGATGGACTCCGGAGTGGCTGAGGAGTGAGAAATGGGGTGAGTCTGAGGCCAGTGGAGAGTCTAGGCAGGCAACTACCAGGGGAGGGGCCCATAAGAAAGGCGTCCAACTCCAGCAGGGGACAGTCTGGAGGGGTCTCCTATAGGGCCACCAAAGAGACTGAGCCTTGATGAAGGGGGAGCAGCACCTCCACAATCATCAGGATTGGATGGGGACAGGAGTGGGAGTCTGGGAAGTGAAGGGAAATTTTTCAGAATGTACCATCAAGACACGCGAAGGATTTCAAGCTGGATAAATCTATTGCTACTCTCTAGTTCACTATGATAAGGAGGGAACTTATTATCTATCTAGATGCGTATCATGATCTTCCCTATTGAAGAATGAAAATGTGCTTTCTTCCGAGGAGAAAGGAAACACCCCCCAAAGTAAAGCGGCATTACGCTGCTTGCCAGCCATGCCTGCTGTGAGCACGCCGTGACTCTGGGTCTCTGCAGTCACCCCGTGGTAAATACCTGTGCTGGGATGGAATTCCCACCCACAAAGCTTGCACCTTGGCATCAAATATCTTACCTTCTCGATTCTTGGATTCTCTAACAACTGTTTGCACTTTACCCTGCAGCTGGTGATCCCCAAGTCCTGAAGACGCTGGTACACATGTCAAGAAGCAGCTGCTTGAGGGCCCTGCTCTGCAGTCTATTCTAGGGCCCGGAAGGTACATTTGTATAAGCAGCAGAGGGGCCTGGATGGACCTTGTCTGAATACCCTTGTTCCAGAGAACAAAGACTCAGGCAGATGAGGTAGAGAAAGGGAAAATTCACTCCAGGAAAAAGTAGAGGAAGAAGCACTTGTAAGTTTCATTTCACTTTCATACAGTTCCATATAAATATTCTCAAATAAATCAAAAAACTTTATGAATCAGCATTTTAAGTTTTTTACTCTGCGAATGTAATACAATCTTCAGCTAAAACAGGAGTAATGAGACAGAATGGTTCTGAAAAGTACAATAGAAAAATATTGTTCACTGGTTTATTTTTCCAAATGAGCAATAGGCTATTTACAAATAAGCAGATCTCCACTGGTGTGTATTAAAATGGCAAGTCTATTCCTGTTGGAAATCTAAATGAAAAAGAAATTTATTAAGGCACATTTGATACGTGAGTTTAAAACAAACAAACTTTCTGGTGTAATGAACAGATTCATTTCACTGTTGTCCCCAAAACATGTGAGCACCAAAATTGTCAAAGAACACTTAATATTTAGTAAAACAGTGAGGAATGTAAAAATTAAGGAGGGGGGGGGAAGCATTTTCAAAAGGAAATCTTTGGAGATCAGTTGACTGCAAATAAAACATACTAAACACACTCCTGATACACATAAATACTAGTAACTGATAGGTACTCGAGAAATGGCAGCGTTCTAAACAATGGATATTAAATAAATTAAAGGTATTTCAGACACAAAGGATAAAACAAAACAGTAATTAAAGAACGGAAGGCCTATCTCCACAAACATAGTGCAGGACAGGATGAAGTAACCAAAACAAGATATATTTTTCCCCCAATGTTTTCATTCTAAATATTAACATTTTACCTTTTAAAGAGAAGGATCAGGAAGACAGAAAATGCCCAATCCTCCCTGAAATTTAATGCCAGGTCCATGCAGGCGACACGGACTACAAGAGTAACAGCCATGGTTCCTACTGTGCGCTCTCTGCTTCTCCTGCCTTTTAAACCCTGTGAGACCACACGAGCACAAGTTTGGGGGGAAGAATCAACTTTGGAAAGCTCTCCTGAAGGTGATGATACAGCGACTGTCACATCTCTTTTACTAAGGAAACACAAAATGGCTTTAAAACAAAATCATGGTTAAAAAAAAAAAAAAAACAAAACCCAAAAGGTAGAATCTGTGCAAAGTTAACAGTTACTAGAAAACATTTACCACAGTTACAGTGTCTTGTTACAATAATACTTTGCAGGAAAGTTCATGTTTTCTGCCATAGGACTGTAGCAAAGGAGTCTGAAAAGGAACTGTTTAAAAGTGTCCATCAGGTACATTTCAAGTTATAATTAAGCAGGTCTGCTACATAAGGTCCAGCGAAGAAATGTGTTCAAAGGCAAACATGATCACATTTTTGTTCAAAAAGCTCAATCTCCAAAGAGTCCTTTGTAAGAAAAATCACGTGTAAAATATATCCTCATATGGACTTCAAAAACTGAGCATACAAAAAATTTCTGAAAAATAAATTAGATAATTAAAAATGTCTTTTTCCAGCAGAGCTGGACATCAGGCTGTCCTCACTGAGCCGTTATTATTGCTGCTTTTACTGTAACCTGGGTCGTTTTTCTCTAGCCACATTTCAGCCAGCTGCTGTGTGGACCCATACGTTGATGCTTTGGACCCCAAGCACATTTTGTACTGTTTGGGATCAAGATTGGGATCGCAAAAGACAGGGTGGTGGACGTGGACTACTCCTACTTCTTGGCTTCTAAATGTCTTCAAACCTGCCTGGACCACCTTGTTGAAAAGGTCCACGTCCTCGAGCCCCCATCCCTGGATGGAAACATCGAAGCCTCCTACGCGGACAAGATCTCCCTTATAAATGCAAGTAATGCCAAACCCATAGTTTCTCCAGAAGCCAGTTTTCTGAGTAAAGGCAAAATGGTTGTCACTGGGAACTTTCCCACTATAAACAATCTTTGGATCGTACTGGCTGAAGATGATTGGAAAATATATTTGTTGGCCCAGAACGGTATTTGCTCGACATCGCTGAAGGAATTCTGTAGTAAACACGAGGTCGACATCACAGAAGAAGAGCAAAGAGTCATTATTAAACTGGGAAGATCCTACTTCAAGGGCCAGAGCTCTTGAGAACTCTCCAGACACTGGCAAAATCTGCATGTCAGCTTTCGGGTACTTAACGCGATAATCCCTCATGAGTTCGACTTGCTTGGCCTTGTCAGGGTTGGAGTCAGAGTTAAAAAGCAGAACGACGAGCTTGACGTTCTGATTTGGAATGAGACATGTCTTCTCGAAGTTTCCCATAAATCTCACAAACATATCAAAACGTCCAGACAAAGGAATCAGTATGTTTATCTTTTTCTCTTTGGGTTCTTTATACTCGCTCTTTGACCCGGGGAGCTGAAAGGGAACAAGCTTCTTTAGGGAATTTGAGAGGAAGGACAAGGATCCGGATTCTTGATTAATCTTGTTGGCCAATTCCTTTGCATCCAGCTCCTCGTGCTCCACGAACTGGATCCTGCTGAAGGTCTGCTGCAAGTACGCGTGCCTCCGCACAGGCACCGTCATCTTCTTCCCTTTGTGCCTCTTGTACAGGAGCAGCAGGTCCAGGATGTACTCGGCGCCGTACATGGGGTTCACGCGGCGGTAGCCGTACTGTATCTCCTTGAAGTCGATGATGCGGCCCCGGGTCTTGGCGTTGGCGTTGATCATCTCCATGACCTGCATGACAATGTCATCCAAGGCTTCCCTCTGGGCAGAGTCCATCCCTCTTCGAGGGGGCTGGCCATCAGCAGCCGAATACAAATACTTCCCGGTCAGAAACTCCCATTCCAGAATCTCCTCCCGCTGGCGGGGCTGGAACCGCATGAAGGAAGGGGGGATCCCCAGCTGCAGGTCTTCTTTATGGATCTCGGTGTTGCTGTACCTGCTCATCAGGACAATCTCTCGGTGCAGCTGAATGGTGCGGTGGCGAAGCTCGGCGATCTTGCGGCTGAGCATGTAGCTGTGGAGCCGGTACTGGTAGGGAGGGTTTTTGTTGGGGTGCAGTGTGATGGCTCGGTGGATCTTACTGTTATGGAGATCTCTAATGTACCCCTTTTTGTTCTGTTCATAATTCTCATAAAAAAGCTGCTGCATCTGTTAAGAAAAAGAAAAGATTGCTATAGAATTGTGTGACTGTTGCTCTATTCTCGTATTTCTTTTCATGTCTGCATACTCCAGGAAAAAATACTAAATATTAGAAATACTTCTCAATGAGCTACAGTCCACCAAAGGACGTAAGTAAAGTTCTGTCAACAGTAGCCCAAGAGCTTCATAGATATAAACTGGTTAAAGAAACAATACCTCATGTTCACTGGCCAGCCAACCGTAATTTTGTAAGCAAACAGTAATGAAGAAGTTTCCCCATTAAGAAAAAGTGCAATCTCGAGATGACAGTGCACCGAGTCAGCGTGCCTGGTAGGAATGTCATCCCGAGTCCCCTGGTCCCATGAAAGGGGCCCAAGCATCAAGAACCTCACGGAAGACTAAAACCCAGGACAGGGGTGCCCATCGGCCTGGAGCAGCAGACCATGGGCTACTCTGGATAGGACCCAACCACACAGGAGCCAAAAGGAGAATTCCTGGAGTAGAGAACCCAAGCCTGGGATTAGCTGCTTCCGGGGAGCTAACGAGCAGGAGCTGACCTGCAGGAGCAGGCCTGCCTCCCAGAGGGGCGTGTTCTGGGAGAAACCACGGCTGTGCCAGGGCACCGGAAGTGCACACCTTGGAAGTCCTTCACAGCTGGCTTGTTCATGTGCCAGGAGGGCCTCCCCACAGCCTCTGTGCGGGTGGGGGGGGGGGGGGAGGGGCCCGGGGGTGGGCAGCTTACTTACACCCGTGCTCAGACAGCTTTGCCACGATGAAGGGCAGAGACAGTAGGGAGCTCACTGCTCTCCCCAACTCTACCTCTGAGCTCTGATACAGGTTTGGGGGGACATAAGCTTGAGGCCCATGAGCCAAAAGGGTTCCCTCAAGTTAGGGAGGGAAAATACTTAATTCCCAGTACACTGAAGCAAGATGATGATGAACATTTACAAGTCTGGAATGAAGGTTAAAAATGTGCAAGACAGGGCCTCCCCGGTGGCGCAGCAGTTGAGCGCTGGGTTGCGAAGCTGCCCACGGCCTCTGCGGCGCCGGTTCGATCCCCGGCTGCTCCCCGGCCACCGGAGGAGGGTCCTACATGGCGCGCAGACCTCTCCTGCCGCCCGCTGCTCCCCTCAGCAGTGTACTTCGGTCCTTCTGCCTGCTCTGCTCCCCGCTCTGGCTCTGGTGAATTCTCTCACCCTCTCGCGCTTCTGACTGTACCCAGTGCTTGTATAAACAAGCAAAACAAACAAACAAACAAATAAATAAACATGCCTCTATTAAAAAAAAGAAAAAAAATGTGCAAGACATTTTAAATAAAAACAACCTCTGAGATTGGTTATTTACATCTTTAAATTAGTCTTATATCATGTGCGGTTCAATTTTGGTTTTTGTTCAAATATCAACTCTTGATAAGAGTGAAATGCATTTGGACCGAGTAGTTTGCTTGTGGGCAGCTATCTTTTTGCGTCTTTATTCTGAACCCACTGCAAATACCATCATACAGAAAACACCAGTTAGCAGTTTTACATCCCATTTTCTTTCTATACAATACTATGTGACACTACACATGACCAATAAAATGAGTAAGTCAGAAAGAAGCGAAAAGCATTCCAAAGAAAGGTTTAACAGAAAAAGCAAAGAAGGTCCTGGACAGCCCCACCCCTCCTCAGAGCTGTGAGGCTGACAGACATGACCTCCTTGAACCTGGCTCTCGCTTGTAGGAAACCCGAGGACTGCTCCTGGGGCAGGAGTCAGCAAGGAGCACACCTCTGCAGGCGCCCTCACTGACTCCGACTCTGCTTCCCACATCATCAATGATCCGCACGGGAGGTCCGTACATGGAGTGAGCTACTGAAATATTTCCAAGTGTTGTAATTAATCAAAAGGGAGTAAAGTTTAAATAAAGAAAAAAGACACCAGGCGTATGTGACCTTGGAGAACTCTTGAGAACTTGGCCTTTTCTGTGAGTCAAGAGGCATTGGGCTGCCCCCAGAGTAAGTACATGCACACAGACACACAGACACACACACACAGGCGCGCGCGCGCGAGTACACACACACACGGTGTCCGCCTCTCTCAGCCACTGCACTGCAAACAGTGGCACTTAGCAATGTGGAATTTTAGATTCTATAGAAGAATCCATTTTTAGAATTTAGAGACTATGGGAAAGCAAAACTCAAACACTTGGCTAAAGTGGCCTGAAGTAAAGCAGCGACCTGGGGTTTGCTGAGAGGAAGTTGGAAACAACTGAGGCGTGAACACCTCCAAGGGCTGGAAGGCCCGGCCACAGAGTGATAACTGATAAAACAACATTAAAGTGTACACCTGCAGAAGATAACATAGGTGGGAGCTGGTCGACCTGGAATGTCTTTGTGGACTCATCTCCACTGGCAAGGGAAACAAAAATACGTCAAACTAAAGTTTTTACACAAAGAAACCACGGCCAAAATGAAAATGTAAGTTACTGAGTGGGAGAAGAGACTCACAAATCAGACATCTGACAGGGCTAATATCCAAAAGACATGAAGTGCTCCTTTGACTCAACAAAAAACCACCTGGCTGAAAAGAGACAGACGATCTGGTCAGAAGCTTCTCCAAAGATGCGCAGACAACCGCAGGCGCGAGAAAAGGTGCTCATCACCACTGACTGCCGGGAATGCAAATCAAAACAGCAATGAGATATCGCCTCACGTCTGTGGGGATGCAGAGTTCCAAAAAGACAAGAAACAAGAGCTGCTGAGGATGTGGAGAGAATTTAACCTGTGGCCCACGGTTGGTGGGAATGTAAACCAGTACGGCAACTCCTAAGAAACAAACGGAGCCTTCCCACCCACCCTCGACTGTCAACTGCAGCAAGGAGCAGCCGAGAGGCCACCCTTGCAGTTTAACACGGTGAGCCTTACAGCGGACGGCAATTAACTGCGTGCCGGTGAGAAAGGACTGCTCCAGGCTCGCAGCAACACTCCACACAGCAAAGAAAGCCCTGCGACTGGGGACTGGTGAAATAATTACTGTTCACTCTGTGACAGAAGGCTCTGTCTGTAATAATGTAGATATTTTATATGTGTGTTTATAATTACATATTATTTCCATTTATCTGCTTATAATGTCCAAACTTTAACAATGAGCATGAAGCAGCATGGCACCTAGAGGTCCCCCCACTTCCGAGAATGTCCACACGCAGACATCACTTTGGCCTGGGGAGCTGCTTGCGGGTCAGGAGTCTGAAGCAGGTGGTTTTCCTGCCTTTCCCCTTTGAAGATGCTGCCAACCCCACCCCGGGCCTTCAGACAACAGGCGTCCTTGCAGAATCCTGTTCTCTCAACTCTGTTCTTGGCAAAGTGGCAAAAATGGTCTTCCTAAAATACAAACTGTAGACTTATGGCCCGCATGATGCTCTGAAAAGAGAATAAATATAAAAGGAATAAACCACAAGGGTACAGTGGACAAGAGATGTCCCCAAAATCTGGGATCCTGGTGAGTGAAGGAAACTAGAATGGCACTGAGCAGACACCCCTCACGGGAGCTCAAGAACGCCCTCTGAAGTGGGAAGGTGTTTTCAATACAGAATTCTCTTCCTAGCAAACTGCCCAGCAAGAAAAGGGGGGAAAAGCGGTATTTTCAGATACTCAATGACTCAAGTCTACCTTGTATCCATCTTTCCCAGGAAGCTAGAAGAGCATGTGCCCCTCTGCAGTGAGGAAGTGAATCCAGAAGGGTTAACACAGGACACAGTAAACACCACAGATGCGCCCCAGTTAGCAGCACAGCAAGTCCCACAAGAGTGCGAAGCATGTTTGTATCCCCCAGATTCATATGCTGAAGCCCTAAGTTCCCAATAGGATGGTTTTAAAGATGGGGCCTTTGGGAAGTAACTGAGGTTGGATGGGATCACGAGGGTGGGGACCCCTGATGATGACTGGACTGGTGCCCTTGTTTGGGATGAAGGGACCAGATGCTTTCCTCACCGGCAGGAAAGAGACCAGCTGTAGACCAGGAAGAAGGCCCCTCTAAAATCCAACCATGCTGGTACCTGACCTCCAACTTCTAGCCTCCAGTGAGAGATAAATGTCCGCTATGGGGGCGCCACGCCTGTGGCATTTCTTGCTGTGGCACACTGAGGGAACTGGTGAATGTGCGAAGACAGCAGGAAGGTCCTCTGCCTTTATCTCCAGAGCACAGCTCAGCGCCTGACACATTACACGATCCTCAACAGATACTGGATGAATGATAAAATGCTGTCTTCAAGCACAAGAATCAAGATGCTGTTGAACAATTTCAGTGCAGAAGACGACAGTGGACACCAGGCAGGGGCAGCGCACTCGGTAACTGACACACACGGGCTGGCTAGCGTGACCGGCATGGAGGTGGGTTCCTCGGACCAGAATGTTTTTTTAAATGCAAAATGCAGCAGCACGCGTTAAAAACACATATTTTTCTAGGCAACAGATGTAGTTGTCATTTGTTTTTGACTACCCAGAAGACCCAATGTGACTGCACATTTTATTCTTGGCTCCCCAAGCCCTACATTCAAGGCACGTTCCAGAGGGTGCCTCCTCCAGGGCACACAGGTCTTCCAGACATGACTGATCACTCCTTACACACTTGCCAGGACACCGTGTCCCCAAACACTTTCAGGAATACATTTTTCAAAATGTTTTAGAGGCTGTCTGTGGCCGTTACTCTCCCAGCGCCTGAAGGTAGGCGAGCTGACCTGGAACACAAAGTGTGTGTGCTAAAGGTATGGGCATGAAGAGGAGAAAATTACTAACGAGCTTATGGAGGCCTGAAAACCCCCTGGAATCATCACAAACTGAGAATTTTAGACTATAGTGAACTTGTAGTAGGCACCTCTGGCTAAATTCCAAAGTCTAACTGAAAGAATGTTGTGTTATAATCCCTTTTTTAAAAAATGAAGAAAATCTGTTGCAGAAGAAGAGAGAGGGAGAGAGAGAGAAATTTATAAAAGGGAGCATTTATTTTTATTAAAAATATTGCAAAACCTATGC